TGGTAATTATACATTTAATGGAAGTGGAAAAATATTAAAAGATCCAGGATTTATGAAAATTACTAATCATTATGATGAAGATGATGAACTTAAAGATTCTGATTTGATTAAACCAACATCATTTATTGAAGGAAATACAGTTATTCCTTCTATGTTTGATATTGTTAAAGGTATGACTAAATGTCCAGATTATTTAACAGAATATGAATTAATTTCATTAATGGAAAAGAATGGAATTGGAACAGATGCAAGTATTCCTGTTCATATTCAAAATATTATTTCACGTGAATATGTTAGTTTAGATACTTCAAAAAGAACTCTTAGACCAACTAAAATTGGATTGGCATTAGCTAGAACATTAGAAACTGTAGACAAAAACTTGATTACTCCACAAATTAGAGCACATATCGAATCAATGGTTTCTAGAATCGCAGAAGGAAAGGCACAATATGAAAATGTTCTTGAAGAAGCTTTAGATACATTTGAACAAAATTATTTGATTTACAAACAAAATTTAAAAGTTCTTGAAGATAATTTCGCACCATTATATCAAGTCCAAGAACAAAGTCGGTTATTTAGTAAATGTGGAAAATGTGGAAGAATCTTATTAAAAGTTATAGGAGATCAAACGTATTTATCTTGTCCAACTTGTTCTTTAAAATTTAATTTACCTCAAAACGCATCATATTCACAACAAACAAAATGTTGTCCTATTTGTAAGTTTGAAATTATTATGACTTCATCTCTTAAAAGTACTAAAAAAGAAATGGTATGTCCTGGATGTTATAATGAAAAGAATCAATTTATGAAACAAGACCATAGTTCTTGTTTACAATGTTCTAATCCTGAATGTAAGTTATCATATGAAAGAACAAAAACGTGTTTATGTAGTGTGTGTGGTGGTGTAATGTGTTTATCTTCATTACAAAATAAATGGAGTTGTTTTTGTAATACTTGTGACAGTCATATAGAATGGATTGATAATGTAAAAAAAGCTCTTCCAAATGATGAAATTTGTGGAAAATGTAAATCATATCATCTTGTAGATCTTACTATGAAAGATAATACAATGACTAAGGGATGTATGAATTGTGACTCATCAATTAAAAAATTATATACTATCAAAGCAGTTATTCTTTCAAATTCAACACGAAAAGGTAGACATTATAATACTTCAAAAAGTAGAGGAGGATATACATCTCATAGTAAAAATAACTCCCGTAAACATTCATCAAGAACTGGTAAGTAAAAGAGAAAAATGAAATTAACTTCTTTTTTTTTATGAATTTATTTATTCTTTATTTTCAATCTCTGAATCATCTTCACTACTTTCAGAAGATGAGGAATGACTGGAATGTGATGTTGACTGTTGTTGAACTGGGAAAGTATTTTGTTTAAAGCTAGAATCTTTTGTAATAACAATACAGTTAGCGAAGTTATACTGCTTTTTTACATTTGTTTCTCTAGCATCAATTTTTCTTATCAAATTACAGCAAAGTAATGTCTCAATAGATTTGTCTGTTATTTTTGTATGACGAAGGTATATAACTTCTAACCATTTACTTTTTAACATTTCTTGTATTCCATTATCTTCTACACTAGTAAATGATAAATCAAGTCGTTTTAATTGTTCAATTTGAGCTATATACTTCCATGCCTCCATTCCAATTTGATTAGCACCAGACACTCTTAATGTTTCTACAGAAAGATCTTCCATCTCTTTTAAGGAATATTCACTAAAATTCTTACAACCATTAAAATTTAATACACGAAGACCTCTTAATGGTTCTAAGACATGAACACCTTCACCACTAATATTTTGACAATCTTCAAATGAAATAGTTTCCAATGAAGTTATTTTAGACAAATATTCAAAGACTTGATCATCAACAGATGTTTTACTAAAGTCAACATATCTTAAATATTTAACCATTTGTAATGCCTCAACTCCACGTGAAGTTATTTGACTTTCTTTTAAATTTACTGAAACAAGATTAGGAAATTTACTACAAATAACAGTTAACAATGGGTCATCTATTGGTCTAGCATCAACTAATAATTGTTGAAGGTATTTTGGTGGAATTCTAAAAGCATCTTGTAATGTATCTGAATTGATATGAACATTACTTAATCTTAAAACTTCAAGATATTTCAGAGAATTTAATGGTGATAAAATTTTTATACCATCACAATGTGAAATATCAAGAACTCTTAAATATTTTAAACGGGCAATAACCTGTAGACCAATATGAGTAACCATAGTATCAGAAATATTTAATTCTTCTAGAGACTTACGAATTGGACCTGTTTTAAATGGAGTTAATGAATAATCAGATAATGTAGGACATCCTTTAAGTGATATTCCAAGTAAATTATCCATTCGAGCAAGAACGTCAAGATGATAATTTGTAACTTCACTCTCATTTAAATAAAGGTATCTAAGAGAATTACATCCAGCAAGATAAATAAATCCATCTGAAGGAGATAGTTGAGACAATGGAGTTTGAGCTGAAACACCACTAATTGGTAAATGACAACGAGTAAATCCAATAAAAACAAGATAAGGGAATAAATACAAATTATAATAAAATTCTGGTCCAAGAGGAGCATTAGAAATTTCAAGAGAAGTTAATTGACTAACATCAATCATATCTTCAATTTTACCAACAAATTTTTTTGATGAAATAGAAAGTTTTTTTAATCCAGTTAATTTTCCAATAGAAGGAATATCACTATCAGTTATATTGTAAATTTGCAATGAAGTAAGTGAAGTATATTTTCTAATATTTTGAATAGACTCACTAACTATTTGTTCTACTCCATATGGTGGTATAACATTTGGACATTCAAGTCTTTTAAGAGTATAAAGTTCATTTAATGTGTCTTGTGAAATTTTACCACATTTCAAAGAAGTTAAATTACTCAATCGTGTAACTAATGCACTACAATCCATTTCAGAACTAGGGTCAACATTCAATCTTTTTATTTCTCTAAATAAACTAGACAATTTAGAATTAGGCTCGGTAACTGTTAATTCTGGTAGTGTTTTTAAATAGTCTTTCCAAGTTTTACAAACAAGTCTACACTTCATTAAATCTTTTTGACTTAAATATCCAAAAACCTTATGAAAATCATCTTCACTTAGATTGTTAATAGACCAATTTTCATGGAAGGTTGTAAGTTCAATTGTATGACTTTTATTTTGTTCGAGACTTGGGCTATTTGTTTGTTGAGGTTGAGGAGAAGATTTAAACCAGTTCCACATGAGTTAAACAAATAAGTACTATTTTTAAGATTTATTTTCATCTTATCTCCATATTTAAAAAGATCTACCAACTTACTTTCTTGAAATTTCTTTTCACAAAAAACATTTTTTTAAACTAAAATAAAATAAAAATTGTTTTTAGTTTATTACTTTCTTAATAATTAAAAACCCAATGAAAATTAACACTAACATAACAAGAGTCATTGTCAGTGATGAGTTAGAGTTAGGTTTATGACTTATTTTATTTAGTGGAACACTCCTTGTAGGTAATTGACAAAATTCTTGGAGTTTAGCTCTATTAGCACCACTAAATCTATCATATTCTTGACCATTTTTAAAAAGAATAAATGTAGGCATAGAACGAACACCATACCTTTGGGCAATGTCAGTGCCTTGATCAACATCGACTTTTACAAATTTAATTGATGGATTTGTTCTTGCAAGTTCTTCAAAATAAGGAGCAATCATTTTACATGGACCACACCAAGTAGCAAAAAAATCTACCAAAACATTAGAATGTGTGGAAATAAATTTGTTGAATGATGAAAGGGAGTTGATATGTTCTACAGACATTTATAATAACTTATTTTTTTTTTAAGTTCTTTTATTATTTGTTGATATATATAACAACAATTAATAAAAATAATACCCTAAAACATCATCTCATTCATCAAATAAACAAGTAATGGGGAAGTGTTGTCAACTTATTATGGGACCTGCTGGTTCTGGAAAGTCAACTTATTGCAAATATATGAAACAATATTTAGAAGACCTTCATAGAAAACCATTTATGGTTAATCTTGACCCAGCAATTGATGAAAGTTATTATGATATTGATATCGATATTAGAGATTTAATTACAGTTGAAGACGTTATGAGTGAACTTCATTATGGTCCAAATGGTGCGTTGGTATATTGTTTAGAATATTTTTTGGATAATATTGAATGGTTTGAAGAACAACTTGGAGATTATGATGATGATTATTTGATTATAGATTGTCCAGGTCAAATTGAGTTATATTCTCATCTTCCAGTCATGTCAAGATTTGTTGACTTTATGAAAAGAGAAAATTATTTTGTTTGTTTATTTATTAAAAATATTTATGACATTATAATATCATACAAATAGTAATGTTTTAGATGTGTGGTGTGTTTTTGGTTGATTCTCAAGTATTAACTGACTCTGCTAAATATGTGAGTGCAGTTTTATGTTGTTTATCAGTTATGACATCCCTTGAAATTCCACATTTAAATGTACTTTCTAAAATGGATTTATGGAGTAAAAATATGCAAAATACTGAGACTTTTTATGATTTCTTAGAAAATGATCCACTTTTTACTAGTTCATTAGATGAACAAGTAGGAGATCGTTATCACAACTTAAATGTTGCATTAGTTGAATTAGTTCAAAGTTACTCACTTGTTGGATTTAGTCCATTGAACATTAAGAATGAAGAAACCATTGATGTTCTTCTTCAAAAGATTGATACATGTCTTCAATATTATGATGATGCCGAACCACAAGAACCAAAAGATGAAGAAGAAATGAATGATTTAGATTGATTTATGTTATTTTCTATTATATTTTTTTTTTGTTATATATTTTTGTTGGATATCAAAAAAAGTAATAAGAATTGGAAATAAATAGATCATTTAAAGTATGAATAATAAAAAATATTATAAATAATAAAAAATATTATAAATAATAATAAAATAAGAGAAAACCTATTTTTTTCAAAAATAACCAATTTAAACCTAAGAACTGAAAGAACCAAACAAACCTTCATTTAGAAATGGAAGCTGACCACCAACAACTTGCTATTGCTTTTGCTGCTCTTCTTATTCATGGATGTGGAAAAGAAGTAAATGCAGAAAGTATTCTTGCTGTTACTAAAGCTGCTGGTATTCAACTCGAAGGATGGGCCAATGCTATGGCTAAAGCTTTCAATGGAGAAAAAATTGAAAAGCTTCTTGAAGGATTCTCCTCAGCTGCCCCAGTTGCCGCTCCAGCTGCTGCTGTTGCTGCCCCAACTGAAACTAAAGAAGAAAAGAAAGAAGACAAAAAAGAAGAAGAGGAAGAAGAAGACTTCGGAGGATTTGGTGATCTCTTCTAATCAAATGGTTCGTTGTTGATTTAATTGTTATTGTATTTTTTTGTTAATGCATAAAGAATATATCATATATAAATATTGAAAATATTAAATTTTTTTATTGTTTTCTATGACAAGTTATTGATTAAATGGTACTTTCTGACTATCTTTTATTAAAACCTAATCATTCTAAAAAAAGTAATTTAAACCTAGAACTTCTTTTTAAATTAAACCTTCATCCTAAATGGAAGCTGCTCATCAACACCAAGAACTCGCTGTTGCTCTTGCCACCCTTCTTATTCATGAAGCTGGAAAAGAAATTACTGCTGAACATATTAATAATGTTCTTCATCATGCCAACGTCAAGGTTGAAGGTTTCTGGCCAATTGTTATGGCTAAGGCACTTGCTAATGCTGACATCGAAGATTTAATTATGAACACTACTGCTGCTCCAGTTGCTGCTGCAGCCCCAGCTGCTGCCGTTGCAGCTAGTGAAACTGAAACTAAAGAAGAAAAGAAAGAAGACAAAAAAGAAGAAGAGGAAGAAGAAGACTTTGGAGGATTTGGTGATCTTTTCTAATCAAATGGTTCGTTGGTATTTTTTGTTTGTTACAATAAAAATATAATAAATAAAAAAGAGTTTTTTGATTTAATACAATTAGTTTGTTACTTGTTGTAATGATTCATATTGTTTTTGAATGTTTGAATGACGACGATGTTTAATAAAGGAATATGTACATTCAACAGTCAAGAGAAATACACCAATTGTTGCAAATACAGCAAACACACAGACCCATGTAATTAAGCTTCCTTCTTCAAAATGAATTTCTTCACTGGATGACATTTTTTAACTATTTTTTGTTTAAATTAGAAGATGAAAAGGGTTTTAAAAGAAAATTTGAATCAAAAGTGAATTTTAGTAAAGATGAACCAAATGAAATTTGCTTTTTTGAAAATAAGAGTCAATCCAAACGAGTGTAACTAAATCTACCATTTGATAGGAAGTTCTTATAAATATTTCTATAAAGAAGTTGAATATCAATGAGGTGATGAATTAGTGCTGAGAAGATAAGTACTAATGATGTTAGAATGATTAATACAATTGATGAATAATACCAACCATTTAATACCTTCATTAGATGATCTTCACATAGATTACACTCTTTTTGAAGACATCCACATTCTTCTTTTGATTCATTTTTATGACAGCAATGTGTCTATTAATGAATATAGATTTTACTATTTGAAAAAAAAAAGAAGGAACAAACAATTCTTTCATAGTATAATATTGTAGGATGGTCAACTCCATCAATAGTATCTTGGAATGTAAATGACATAATAATTATAATAAATATAAATGATATTAATCCAATGAATAAGGCTATATAACTAATGAATTTAGGATAAGGAATATCTTTTCTTCTTATTATTACAGAACAAAGAGAATGACTAAAACAAATAAAACACAGTAATACACCATAACAACATGTGACAAAACGAATAATAAATACATTTTCATTATGAATGATTCCTCCAATAGAAGTAACTATCCCCATAAAAACAGTAAGCATAGAAAGAATTGATATACATAACTCGATAATATTATATCTTGATTCAATTGGAAAGTAACGAGAGAAATTAGTATTTCTTTCCATAAATAAGTAATATTATTTGATGATATTAAGATTTTTGGTTAACGTAAAAAAAATAACTAAAAAAAAAGAAAGTATTAGATTTGAACAATGTTGTTCTTTTCATAATAAATTTTAATTGGAATTTCAAGATTATATAAACTGTTTATCAACGCAACATTTTGTAATGCTATTGATTCAATATTTGAAAGATAAGCATTACAATTTTCAAGAATAAGACTATGGGTTGATGATGGTAAAATAAGAGTTGGTTGATTGTAGACATTATTTAATTCAATAAATGTGAGTGATGTATAATATGATAAATCAATAATTTTTATATTGTTTGAAGTTTCTATTAAGTGTAATTGATAAATATTATTATTTAATAAGAAGGAAGTAGTTTGAGTAGAAATAAGAGTTAAGGAAGTTAATTTTTTTAAATATTGTATATCTAATTGTTTATTAACATTTGATAATTCAAGTTGTATAAGATTTGGTGGAAATTTAAGAGAATTAGAATAACGACATGAAAGAAATTGAAGAGATGATGGGAAGTGGGGAGATTCAAGTAAGACATCATTTGCATAAAGAATAGAAAGATTTGAAAGATTTTGAAATTCACCTTTAAATGTTTTTCCAGTTAAAGATATTGATGTTAATAAATTAAAAGATTCAAATGAAAAATAATGATTTGATAATGTTAATTGTCTAACATTTTCTGCATTATAAATTTTCCCATTTGATTTAAATATGACCAAATCTGTAACTGTAGATGGAATTTCTATATCATTGTCATTTTGAATTATTGTTATATTTTTAAGGAATGGGAATGTTTTTGTATATAAATAAAAGCAGTCTTCAAGTTTTGTAAGTGAAGTTGGATAATTAATTGAATATTTAGAATAACTTTGGATTTCTTGTAATTGAGTGAATGAAGAAAAATCAAGACAGGATTGTGTTATTCCAGTTAAAATAATTTTAGAAGGAAAATACATATCTATTATAAAAGAGTCAAATCCTTTAGAACAGTTTAACTCTAAATATTTATCAAATAATAATAAAATTGAATCATCAATTCCATTAAACCATTTATCACAACAAATCATAAATTTTGATTGAATATAAGGTATTTGAAGAACTTCTTTAATAGATTTTTCATCAGAAAGAATAATTGTTTTATATTTTATGTTATAATTCCAAAGAATTTTTATAAGTGAAGAATTGAAATGATTAATCATTTGAATGTTAATTCTTTCTAATTGACTAAATTGATTTTTAAAACATTCACATAATTGAAAGTCTTTGAAACATTTAATAGATAATTTATTTAAATGAATAAATTGACTAAAATCAATTGGTTTTGTTGTGTTTGAATGTTGGTATACATTTAATTCTGTAATTTTATTTTTGAATGGAAGAATAATGTCTATAAGTTGTAAGTCTATTTTTTTAATAATCATATTGTTTATTGTTGGTGGAATAAAATTTATATATTTTAATGTATTTTCATTAAGTATTATTGTTGTGATATTATCAAATAAGTTACACATTAAGAGAAAACAGTTCATTTGTTGAAAATAGTCAACACTTTGAAATTGGTTTTGATAGTAGAAAAGAAGAGGGTTTTTAGACAGTTTCTTTACAATTCGTTGACATTTTTTATTAATACAAATAAAAGTAAAAAATGTTTGATATGTTTGTAAATAAGGAACAATAAACGACAAAGGGAGTTGTTCAAAATACATTTCTTTAGTATTTGTTTTTTCAGATCTTCTTTCTTTCAAAACAAAACAATTGAAAACAGATAATTGTTGTTTAAAGTACAAGGAATAGAGAAAAAATAGCCACTAGAGTTATTGAAATGAATATTCCCGAGTTTGGATAATAGAAATAACAATTTCCTTCTTCATTAGGTAATTGATAAAGTAAAGACGATGATTTTGCAAGACATAATAAGCAATTTCCAATATCATCAGTTAATGTACAATCTGTTTCTTAAAGAGTTAGAATAATGAAAAAGAAAAGAAATAATAGAAAAAAAACAAACCAACACATTCACCATCAACGAGTTGATATCCTTCATAACATTCTTCACATTCATTTGGGTTGACTCTACATTGAAAACAATTAGATATTTTACATTCCACACAATTATTTTCTAAATTTGCGTTAAGTAACGAACATTCTAAACATTGTTCTGAAGAAGAAATACACGTTTTACATTGTTTGTCACATTGTTTACACTCATAATTATCTGTTAAGTAATATCCATTATGACATTCAACACATTGAATAATACCAGTTTCTGAAGACTGAAATGATTTACATGAAGATTCTGGTTTAAAACAAAATTTTCCATTACTTTCAAAAATATAATTTTCTTCACATTCACTACAAAATTCTGTTCCATTAAAATAATTAACACAATGACTTTCTCTACAAGTATTAGATGAGTCATCAAACATACAATAATTATTACATGTATTACATGCTTGAAGAGATGTTGTTGAATTACAAATTGTTGTTTCTTCTTTAGAACATATTAAACATGTTTTATTTGGAGAAACATAATATCCAGAATCACATTCTGAACACTTTCCATTTGAATTACATTTTTTACAATTATCTGGACATTTTGAACATCCTTTAGTTTCATTAAGAAAATATCCAGAAGAACAAACACGACATGACATTTCAGACGAATAAATTGAACAACCTTCTATTAATGTTCCATGAAGACATCTATGACCATCTTGAGATGGTATTAAATTTCCATAACAAACTTCACATTCACCAAAATCATTTTGAATAAGACAATTTTGAATTACAATCACTATTTAAATAAATAATGTTTATTATTTATAGGATAATAACAAACCATCACATTGATGAGTAGAAGGATTGAGTGTAAATCCAATATCACATGACTCACAAAGAGGTTTATCCAATACATATTTTGAACAATGAGGTGTATATTTTTCACACCTTCCATTGAGTAGATAATAACTTGAATGACAAGAATAACAATTATTATCTTCAGAGCATTCGTTGCAACCTTTTTCACAAGCTACAATCAATTAAAAATTCTTCTTCAATGATGAGTGTATGTATAAAACAACTAAAAACAAACGAATACAATTATTTGAATTATCAAGTCTTGTTCCTGGTGGACATGATACACAAGTATCATTTTTATATGAAATACATCCACTACTATTTCCTATTGAAATAAGAACTATACAAAAAATATACTAACTAGAAATAGTTCAAACTTAAACAATTATCACCAACAAGATGATACCCATAATGACATGCAATACACTTACCACTTGTATCAATTTCCACACAATTTGAATATAAATTTTTAAAATCTAGACATTATTTTTGTTACTTCTAAATTAAAAATTGAACAAAAACAAACAAATACATTCAGCTTCAATAAGAATATATTGTGGCAAACATAAGGAACATTCATATTTATCATTATAATATTCTGGACAATAAACACAAAATGGTATTCCACAGGTAGTATTAACAATTTGACTTTTTACAAATGAAGCAAATAATAACATTAAACTAAAAAGGTTCATTCAACTAAAAGAAGTTCAAAATAGAATAAAAGATCAGATAAACTATGTTCTCAAACATACTAACTCCTTTATAAAAATTACTATTTTTTGCATCTTTCCACTCAAATTATAAACAGTAAGATTCTATATTTAATGATTGATTAAATTATTAAATTAACTATTTAACTAATGTTTTTCTTATTTTTTGAAATTATACCATTTTTTTATCTTTTTTCGAACAAATGTGATTTGAATTAATTGCAATAAAAATAAACATGTAAACCTATTTAAAAAAAATGTATGATGACTTTTGACTTAATTTATAACTCAGAGAATTTTATTCAAGAAATTACCTCACTCATACCACTTTTACAACTACTACCTCATCAAAGCTGAATCTATCTGGAAAAAAAAACACTTCTCTAAACAACTGTATCTTTAGTGATTGATCTTCTCATTTTGAAATAATTTGAACTTACTTGAAATATAACAATCACTTTTAATGATGTACAATAAGTATCTTTCATAAATTATAATAACAGTTTAGAGATAAATACTCTTTTTTATTAATATTTTTTTTCTATATTGTGGTTTACTTAAAAAATTATACTGAAAAGATAAATATTTTATCATCAACAACACTAGTCAACTTATCACCAATTAGATTTAATGTGTTTTTCTAATATCGAACAAAAACATTAGTGCTATTCTTGAATAAAGTTATAAACATATTCTCCTTTACCTATTGCTTCAGAAAGATAATCTCTTATTCCCACATTATCCTAATTAATAACTTTTTTTAAATTTCATTCTTTTAATAATGTTTTATTCTTATAAACTTCTTACCTCATTTGAAAATTTATTTCGAATTATTTATATGTATTATTCAAAATCAACGTCTTTCTGTTTTTCTTATTTCATCTTTTGGTACAACAATTCCCTAATTTTCTATTTAATTATTTTCATTTCATAATGAATTTCAAAGTGTTTAGACTAATCTTTTAATAACACTATTTCTATAAATGAATGTGGTCATTTAAGTATATTGGTAATTATTTGACTTTCGTTGTTTTAATTGAATAAATTATTACTGGATGTGTTTTTTGATACACTGTTTCATAAGTTTTTAAAAATATAAACTACAATTGAAGAAAATTTTATAGTAGTACTTGTTTAATTAATAGTGGTATTGCTTTATTAACAATTAAAACATTAAATACGTTGTGAAAAAAAAATAACCATTTCTAATACTCTTAGTTGTTGGTCAAATTGAAGTGGTGTATATTCATCATCAATTCAAATGAATTTTATTTTTTTCTCTTTATTCAAAAAGTCTGAATGAAAATGAAAATTAAACTTCTGAATTAACTGCTGTCAATTTCTTTATTCATCTGATAATTCAATGAACCCTCCAATACCTGATAAACAAGTCTCTGAAATTGTTACTCCATCACAAATTCAACTTATTAATCTTCGAGCATTACAAGGATTTTTTCCAATTATTGAGAGTGTAATTATGAATTGTGGAGTAGTTAGTGTGTATGAACTAAGAAGTGAAGGTGGAAAAGAAATTACTGATGTTGGTTGTCGTGGACCATTATTTTTAGTTCAAACACGACATAAAGAATTATGGTTAGTTGTTCTGAATCAATCATCATTTGGAATATATCATACAATTGTTTCAGAACAAACACAGTTTCAACAACAAGATCGTTATTTAACATTAACTCATTTAGATAATCAATGTTTAGTTCAATTTTGTTTTATTTCACAAAGTGCAAATGAAGAATGTACGAATGTAGTTAGTAGACTTAGAAGAGAATTAAGTGATAGAGTAAGATTTGGAAGACTTTTAAAACAAGCAGTGACATATTGTTCAATGTAACATCTTTGAAATGAATATTTTTGTTATTTAATGGTTATATTATTTAATAAGTATTTTTAATAGAAATTAAACTAAGAACTTAAAAATAATAAAATGGCTTCTATTCTTTACACACTTAATTTTGTTATTTGTATTATTCTTATTGTTACATTAACATTGTTATTAATTCCTATTCCTAATATTCTTAAAAAACAAATTCTTAGTTTAAGTCATTGGATTGTTAAGAAAAGAATATTTTCAATTACTTTATTAGTTATTGTTTCTATTCTGTTTATTGATGCATTTTCTAGAATGAAACATTGTGAAGGAGTTAAACAATCATTAGCATTCGATGCTCCAATTAATACACGTATTTCAACATATTCTGAGTTTGTTTATTTCTTTTTCATAAGGTATTAAATGGAAAATAACATTTTAGATTATTTAGAAGTCAAAGAAATACTTATATTACATTTTTCAATTTACTCCTTGTTTTAGTTAATTGGAGAGTTGGAGCTTTAGTTCGTAAAGTAATTAATTAAGTATTTGGCATCATAAACTTTCAGTTATGTTTTAGAAAATCTGTAATATTTCATTGTTATAAGTTAAAAAAATAGGGCTTTTGTAAAATAAAATAGAACTAATATTTTACTTTTTATGAGCACTAAACAACCATCTCAACTTATTTCAAAGCAGAATGTTCAAGGAAAAACTAAACAACAACAAACAAAAGGAGGTAAAGATGAAAAACAAAAACAAGGAAAAACAAAAGAAGAAAAGAAAGAAGGACAACTAAAAGGTGATGGAATTCCACAATTATCTAATAAAGAATTAAAGGCTTTAAAAAAACAACAAAAACATGATAAAAAAGCAGCTAAGTTAGGAGAAAATAATCAACAATTAAAAACAGGAGAGTCTCAAGTTATTCAACAAGTAAATACAATAGAATTAATGTTAGGAACAAAAAAACAAATGCCAATTGTTGAAATTAATAGTACGATTCATCCATCATTTGCAAGATTTGCATTAGAATGTTCTGAATATAAATGTGTTGGTAGTACTATTCGAGCATTACGATTTATTGAATGTATTATTCAAACATTAAAAGCAAGTAAATTAACACAAAGTTCTGAATGTATTCCATTAATTGAAGAAAATGTTAAATTATTAGAACATGCACGAACAATTACTGTTGGAATGAATAATGTTCGTAAATTTATTTTTATGAAGAATCAAAGCATTGAAAATATTATTGCAACAGCACAAACAGTTTCATCTAATATTATTGGTAGTCAAAAAGAAATTGTATCAAGTAGTTTGTTATTTAAATAAATATTAACTAATAAAGAAATTAATGAAAAAATAGTGGTTGATTCATATAAATATGTTAATGATGGTTCTGTAATATTAACAATTAATTATAGTACATTATTATTAAATGTTTTTAAAACAGCATTCACTGATACAAATAAATTTAGAGTTATTGTTGTTGAAACATCACCATTTGAAGAAGGAGCAATCTTTGCACGAGCATTAAGTGAAATTGGAATAGATACAACATATATTCTTCCAAGTGGACTTCAAGTAGTTTTAGCTTCTGTTAATAGAGTAATATTATCAGCAAGTTCTATGGATGGAAGAGGATCATTATATACAAGATCAGGAACAGCATCAGTCTTAATTGCTGCAAAAAGTAAACATATTCCAGTTATTGTTTGTTGTGAAACATATAAAATGACAGATGAAATTATGAAGAATGAAGGAGAAATATGTCGGATTGGAAATGGAATTACATTATATGATGAAATTCCACATGATTTTATTACTGTTGTTGTAACTGAATTTGGGTGTATTCCAGCAACTTCTATTCCAGCTGTGGTAAGAGAATTACGTTGGGATTCAAAAGCACTTTCACAAGAAAAATATTAATTGAATATTTTTGTTTTTTCTTTATAAATTCTATTCCGAAAATACATGTTATTTACAATTAAATGAGTCATTGTCTTTTCTATAAACAAGTGGTAGTTAGGTAATATATCATTAATAACCATTTTTAATGATTATTTCATTATTTTTCCCTTTTAAGAAGAAAATTTAGAATAATTCTAAATGACAGTTTTGACTATCTTATAAATACAAACTAGAGCATTATTTATTTTAATATATTCATTTTTACCTCTGAATTTCTAATACTAAAACTGTTTTCAATTTTAAACACGATACATACAATGCAATATGAGTATGTTTATAATGTTAATGGAATGATGATTGAAATATTGTTATTTTAGATGTATAAAATAGGATAAAAATTTATTTTTACATTTGTAATATATTCAATTCATTATTGTTAATGTATATGTGATAAGTAAAATAATGTGTTGTTATTTCTATATAAGATTTAACGATGAAATAGATGATTTTACTATTAAACAATCAAATTGTTCTAACAAGTTATAGATAATCTTTTTTATTAGTAAAAGCTCTTCTAAAGATTTATTAAATAATGTGAGTCATCTTATTTATATGTATTACCACTGTTAACAACTAGAACATAATGAAAATGAGTTTTTTACTTTCATTATTATTCAGAAAATGTGTCTTTCTTTAATAGTGATTGTATATAAAATTAAGGAGTAGTACAAATCATTATATCACTTCAATTAAAAGAATAACTATAAAAAAGAAAAGATGAACATACAATTCATAATTTCTAGTTTTAGAATAACTAATGAAATAATGAACAATAAAAAATAAGTATTATTTTGAAAAGTATGTTGATTATTCAAAGAAAAAAAAACAATGTCTTAATTGAATAATATACGGAAATACAACAATGAGGATGTATTTATTGCAAATAATGTGGTAAAATCAAATGTTTTTATTTAAGTTTGAAAGTGATTAGGATTATATGCTATTGTTATATAAATTTAGTTCATTCATATTTCTCATTGTAGAAATACTAAAATAATCTTCTGTTTCTTTTAAAATCGAATAATTAATAGTACTAAAGTATAGTTTAAAAATATTAGAATGAAATTATAATCATATTTCAATTAGAACTATGGGAAATAACAATGATTTTTCGGGAAGAAAAACAATTTAGTAAGATACATCTGAATAGTTATTTTTTGTGTCATGAATCGTATTGAATGTAGTATGAATAGTATTCCTTATACTGAACTTCAAAGAGCAAAAGTTGGAATACCTCTTTATTTTGTTTATACTCCATTATGTAATGAAGTCAATAGATATGATATTCCAACCATATCACGATGTAGAGGATGTAAAGGATATATGAATAAATATAACAATTGGATTGTTGCAGGAAGGACGTGGAAATGTTGTTTATGTGGACATATCAATACGGAGTTAACTGAACGATATCTTCAATTAACACAAGAAAGAATTCAAGAATATCCAGAGTTAATAGTTGATGCATTAGAAATAAAAACTGATAGTAATTATACTAGAAGACCAATGCAAGGGAATTGTATTTTATTTGCTATTGATCAATTATATTTTGAATCAGTTAAAGACATCTTAATAAATATTATTCAAAAGATACCTAATAATACTCGAATTGGAGTAATGATTTATAGTGATAAAATAACATTATTTAAATACCATAATAGTCATTATAGTATTGATGTTTTTAGTGAAGATGCAATAGAACTTATTAATGATATTAATTTATATTTACCATCTATTGAAACAATCAAATCTGAAATTATAGATAATATAAGAAAATATAATGATGAACAAAATTATGTTGGATGTTGTTTTGGGAATGCAATGAAAACAATCAATTTTCTACTCAAAAACTATGGAGGAAAAGTCATTTGTTTAAATGGAAGTCATCCAACAAAAGGAGAAGGAAAATTAAATCCATTAACAAATGATTTTAAAACATTTAAATCTAGTCATGATCCTTTTTATGATGAATTAGCTATAGAAATGAATAATAATATGATTACTATTGACATGTTCTTTAACTTAAGGAATGCATTTGATACAGCAACACTCTCAGATTTTGCAAGAAGAACTGGAGGAAGAGTTTATGTTTGTAATTCAAATGAAGAATTATTTCAAACAATGATAAATGACATTTTACAAAGTTATCGTCATGAGGCAGTATTTAGAATTCGATCAACACATAACTTAGCAACAAAAAAACGATATGGGAATTATAATCTAAGAAATAATGACTTAATTGCAGTTCCATGTATTGACCCAACGTCATGTTTTGTTATTGATTATGAAATATTACCAATATCTAATATAACAAATACATATATTCAAACAGTATTTCTTTATACAAATCAAAATAAAGAAAGAATGCTACGAATAGAAACAATGAAAATACCACAAAATAGTCAACCAGAAATTAATGCAAGGGGACTTACTATTGCTTGTAATATTATTTCATCAACAATTGGAATTAAAGAAGGACTTAAAGAAGCAAAGGAATATCTTATAAATATAGCAAAGAAAATTCCTAAATATTGTTCTCAAAGAAATGAGGCGATTTATTATTTATATTGTCTAACAAAAACACCACAAATGAATAAAAAAGGATATGTTTGTGCTGGGATTTTAAGAACAATAATTGGAAAAGGAGAATTTCCAATACCAGTGATGTATGTTATTGATGGAAATGGGAATTATCGTTCAGTTACATTATCAGGTCAAGAAGTAAAGAATTGTCTTGTACTTCTTATTATTGGAGAACAAATGATTATTGGAGTTGATAGGTTATTAGAAAAGAAAATGATTAAATCATGTTTTGGAGTTTCTACAATAACTGAAATTGCAAATAATAGTTTAATTTCAGAAGAAGATAATGTAATTGCAATAACTATGAGAAAATTAATATCTTCTATTGGAAAAAAGATAATTACAATTGACTGTAGTGATAGATGGAAAGAATGGTTAATAGTAGAAGATAATTATCATGATGGATGGACATATCAAAAATTTTTAAATATACTTTAATTTAAAGAAAGAAATTACTTAAAATATTTCTGAAGATGTGCTTTTCTTATTTCAATTTCAGAATTAGTGTGTTGTTTTCTGGTTGCATTATATGCTTTTTTGATGGTTTGGTTATTTAATCGAGCAATGACATGAAGTAAATAATCATTTTCAATAGACAACTCCATTGTAATAATTGGTTGTTGAACATTATCAATAACAAATTTACCTAATTGATGAGTTCCTTCATAAATTTCAACAATAGCATTTCCACCAACAGCTTCAGCTTCAAAACTTCTTGTTAATGGAATAGTTGAATTTTCCTTAACAACTTGTGCCATAAATTCTTGATCTTGGTCATCTAATGATTTAATATAAATAGGATATAATGTAATATCACTAAGATTAGGAATAATTGATCCATCTACTTTTGTCCCTTTACTATAACAATACATACATGCTCCTTTAGCTACAACAATATTTCTATCAAGTTTTGACTCAGCTATTTTTTTTCCAAATTTTTCTTCTATAAGACTTTCAATAGCTGGAATATGAGAACTTCCTCCAACAAGAAATACTTTGTTGATTTCTTTAACACTCATTCTAGCCTTTTTTAATGTTTCATCAATAACTTTTTTACATTTGTCAAATAAATTTTTATTAATTAATTCAAATTCCTTTTGGGTAATTTCAAATTCTATTCCTTCTTCTTCTTCACAGTCTTGAACTTTTGATAAATTAATTATTACATCATTAGATGATGATAATTCAATTTTTGCTTTTTCAATTTCTTTTCTTAATTTATTTCTTTTATTAATCTTTCTTGTTTTAGTTTTACTATCATCACTTTGTGTTATGTTAAGGTTATTATACAAATTAATATCTTCATTTTTAATTTTGTTTAGAACAAGTTCAAATAAATTTTTATCAATATCAATTCCACCGAGATGTTGATCTCCACCAGCACTTATAACTTTTAAACTATTACCTGTTTTTTTAAGAATAGTAGTATCTAATGTTCCTCCTCCAAAATCAAATGCAAAAAAGTTTCCATTATTTTGATCTACTCCATAGGCATAAGCAGCTGCAGTTGGTTCTGGTAAGATTTGAATAACATCTAATCCTCCTAATTGAGCAGCACATAATGTAGCATCTTTTTGTTGATCTGTAAAAGTAGCTGGAACAGTTACAATAACTTTAAATTTATCTGTTTGAGTTTGTTCAATAATTGTTTTCTTTACTTTATTTAAAATAATAGCACTAATTTCTTCTGGTTGTAAAGTTTCTGATGATGAAGAATTAAGTTTTATTTGAGGATTTCCTTCTTTGTTGAAAATTAGTCTTTCACCAAAGCGTTCTTTCTCAAGTTCAATTCCTTCACTCTTTGAGTTTTTACCAATAATTCTTTTAATATCATAGATCATTCCTTCTTTTGAACTATCAACACCAACTATAATATTAGAGGGATTTGTAGTATCAATAACTGAAGGAAGATATTCTTTCTCATTAAATTTGATTACATTAAAGGATGAAAATTGTCTACTCCAAAGAACAGCTTTTGTTCTTGTTGTTCCTAAATCTATTCCAACATATAAATCAGAAGACATAATTAAAGACACTAGATCTTAGATCTATTAAAAATAAGAAAAAAAGAAATGACTTTTATTTTGTTTCAAATTCAATTATTTATTTGTTGAATTTTTTCTTCATATTGTTGTATTTCAATTCGTAAATCATTACATTGCTGTTCTAAAATATCTGCTTTGTTATTCATTTCATTTACTTCTTTTTGGTATAAGGGAATATAATCTATGAAGATTTTGTAATTAGTCATCATAATTTCATATTGTTCTTTGAAGTTGTTGTTTTGCATTAAATGAAGAAAATAATTTAATTAAAAAAAAAATAAAAAAATAAAAAAACAAAAAATTACTAATTTTTTGTGATAGAGTCATTTTTGTGTTTTTATTTATTCTTTTCATTTACAAAAAGGGTTTTAGTTTTGTTTTGATTTTTCAATAGTTTATGAATATAAGTCAATTTGTGTTTTGATAGTCAAGTTTTTGTTGAGGGAAGAATAGTAAAAGTATGGTTAAAAGAGTTATAAGATAGAAGAAGAAGAAACAAAAAAGAACTTCAAAAAAATAGATTGAATGAACTTCGATACAGACAAAAAAGAAAAAGAATTTGGTAAAGTGTATAGTGTTTCAGGACCAGTTGTAATTGCAGAAAATATGCTTGGAGCAGCTATGAATGAATTAGTTAGAGTTGGTAGTCGAGGGTTAATGGGAGAAATTATTCGATTAGAAGGAACAACAGCTACTATTCAAGTTTATGAAGAAACTGCAGGTCTTCAATTAGGAGATATGGTAGAAAGAACAATGAAACCACTTTCAGTTGAACTTGGACCAGGAATTATGACATCTATTTTTGATGGGATTCAAAGACCATTAGTTTCAATTGCAGAAAAAAGTGGAAGTATTTTTATTCCAAGAGGAATTTCAGTAGCATCACTTGATCATCAAAGAGAATGGGAATTTACACCCTTAGTTAAAAAAGGAGATCATGTTAGTGGAGGAGATATTATTGGTACAGTTCCAGAAAGTGCACTTGTTGTTCATAAAATTCTTGTTCCACCAACAGTTATGGGAACAGTAACATGGGTTGCAGAAGCAGGAAATTATACACTTGATGATAAAGTGATTGGAATTGAATTTAATGGTAAAACAGAAGAACTTAGTATGGCACATCATTGGCCAGTAAGAAAACCAAGACCAACAGCAGAAAAAATTACTAGTACAACACCATTAGTTACAGGACAACGTATTCTTGATTCTCTTTTCCCATGTATTCAAGGAGGAACATGTGCTATTCCAGGAGCATTTGGATGTGGAAAAACAGTTATTTCACAAGCATTAAGTAAATATAGTAATTCAGATGTTATTATTTATGTAGGATGTGGTGAACGAGGAAATGAAATGGCAGAAGTTCTTCGAGATTTTCCAGCTCTTTCTATTAAAGTAGGAGATAAAGAAGAATCTATTATGACAAGAACAGCACTTGTTGCTAATACATCTAATATGCCTGTTGCAGCACGTGAAGCATCAATTTATACTGGAATTACATTATCAGAATATTATAGAGATATGGGATATAATGTTGCTATGATGGCAGATTCAACATCAAGATGGGCTGAAGCACTTAGAGAAATTTCAGGACGTCTTGCAGAAATGCCAGCTGATTCTGGATATCCAGCATATCTTGCAGCACGTTTAGCATCATTTTATGAACGTGCAGGTATGGTTGAATGTTTAGGATCACCAAAAAGAATAGGGTCAGTTTCTATTGTAGGAGCTGTTTCACCACCTGGAGGAGATTTTTCTGATCCAGTTACAACATCTACATTAAATATTGTTCAAGTTTTCTGGGGTCTTGATAAAAAACTTGCACAAAGAAAACATTTCCCAGCTGTTAATTGGAATATTTCATTCTCTAAATATATTAAATCACTTGATAGTTATTATAATAGTAAAGATGAAGAATTTGTTCCACTTCGTGATAAAATTAAAGAAATTTTACAAATGGAAGAAGGATTATTACAAATTGTTCAATTAGTTGGTCAAGATTCTCTTGCTGAAACTGATAAATTAACACTTGAAATTGCTCGTGTTATTAAAGATGATTTCTTACAACAAAATTCATATACTCCTTATGATTTTTCATGTCCATTTTATAAAACTTGTGGTATTATTAGAAATATTATTCATTTTTATAATGAAGCTTTCCAAGCTCTTTCTGTTGATTATGAAGATCATAAAATTACTTGGGCTACTATTAAGTCTGCAATGTCTGATTTATTAGTTAGAATTTCTAGAATGAAGTATGAAGAACCATCTCAAGGAGAACAAGTTATTAATGAAAAGTATGGAGAATTATATCGTGATATTACCACTCGTTTTGCTACTCTTTTAGAATAATCAAAACCATAATTTAATTTTTATATAAATATTTTGTTTTGTAAATATATATTAATTAAATTATTTATTATCTTTTTAATAATTTTATAAATAGTAATTAAAATATTGATAAAGATGAAATGAAAATAAATTAATTCTTCTTCTTTATTATCAAATACTTTCAATAATTGTTATTTATTTTATTCTTGATATTATTTGTATTTATTATTATTATTATTATTATCAATATTTATATATTACTTTTATTCTTTCAAATTACTTATTACAAATAAAATATTAATTAGTAGTATTATATTTATATTATCTAAGAAGTTTTTATTTGATTATTCTTATTAATTATCATTTAAACCATTTGATTAAATTATTTTATATTTTAAATAATAAGAAAATTAAGATATTATATTGTTTAAATAATCAATTAATAGATGAAGATTTTTCAAAGAATTATTCAAAGGAAAATGAAATGTATTGTTTTGAATGATATTAAAAATTATCAATTTCATACTATTTTAGATGTTATATTTCATCAAAAAATAAAAATAAAATAAAAAGAATGTTTTTAATATAAAAAGAATAATAATAATGAAAAAGAAATGAAAAATTAAAGAATAGGTTCTTGTTGTTGTATAATTTGTTCTTTTAATGAAGTAAAAAATTGATAAATTTCTTGAAGTTGAGGTCGTTGTTCTATTTCTTGATTCCAACATTGTTGAATTAATGATTTAATTGATAAGTCTATTGTATCAGGAATATTTGGTCGTTTTCCTTTTGATATTTCAAGAGCTGCATCCCATGCATTAGAAAAAGGTCGTTCTGGATATAACATTTTTTCTTGATAAATTTCTAACAAACTCATTCCAAGAGAATAAACATCAGATTCTTTTGTACATTCATTTCCTTTTAAAACTTCAGGTGCATTGTAATATGTTGATTGTAACATTTCTTCTTCATTAATAGTTAATTTTGGTAATCCAGTCATTTGAGAAATATTCCAATAATGTCCTAATTTACAACAAACTGTTGATTGAATATTAAGTGAAACAATTAACATATTTGTAGGTTTAATATTTCCATGAATTTGTTTATTTTGATAAAGAAATTCTAATCCTTTACAAACATCTTCAAATATTTTTGCTCTTAATAATGGTTGCATTTCTCCTCTTCTATAACATGTTCTTGCATTTCCATGTTCTGCATATTCTAATATCATACATTCATGTTCTGGTGTTGTAACTGCTCCAATAATATTAATTAATAATGGTGATCTTAATTTTGTTAATTCTTTTAAACTGTTTATAAATCGTTCATATGAATTACTATTCCATTTTAAATTTAATCTTTTAATAATTACATTCTGATTATTATATTTTCCTGTTGAAACAATACCATTATTTCCATTTTTAATAGTATCTATAAATTCAATTTCTTTATAATCAATTAAAATACTTTCTTCTCCTGTTACATTAATATAAAGAGGAGTAATCATTTTATCATCATCTTCAATATTTTCTTCTGAAATACCATCAAATGTTATTAATTGAATTGCTTCATATTCTTTGCATGTACATAATAATGTGATTGTAAAATAAACATTAATAGATGAATGTGGTCCTAATATGGCTATTCTTGGTTCACATTCTATATTATATTGTGATGACTTCGATTCAATTTTAAATGTTTTTTCTATTTCACTTGGGTTATATACATTAATTTCATCATGAAACGCTTTATTTATTTGCATAACTCTTCCTTCATTTTCAAATGTTAATGTATTTTTACTTACTGTTAATGGAAAATTATTAAATTCAACTTGTGTATATTTATATGTATTTCCTTTTCTTGTTGTTCTTCTTCTAGATAATATCCAAGCAATTATAACAATTATTACGACAAATAAAATTAATATTGTTGATCCAATGCTAATTGCCATTATCCATTCTTTAGATTTAATACATTCTCCTTTTACATATAAATATCCATTTGGACAAATGATTCGTGGTTGAGGGTCAACTGAAGTGTCATTGGAACTAGTGTTATTTGTTATATTCATTTGTTAATTTATTCTTTTTTTTTATTCAGTTCTTTTCTTCTCTTCTTTCAATTCTCTTTAAACTTGAAAATAAAAATTAAAAAAGCTCCAGATACTAGCCACTCACCATGATAATGTCTGACTGGGGCGGCAACAATTATCTTCATTGCTTTCAATATTTAAGTGTTTGAATTATTATGAAATGACTCTAATTATTAATTGTTAGTTATTATGGTTTTTTAAATCTTTAAAAAGGGTTAAGAAGAATATTCAAAGAAAAGTCTTTGGACTTTTCATGTTTATTGTTATTCTTCTTTTTCATAAACATAAATGAAGTTTCTAAACAAAAAAACTTTCAAATAAAGTTATTCTGTGGATAAACAGATATTTTAAAAGTTCTTTGTACAAAACAGAATGGTACAAGTTTGTGATGTTATTTAAATCAAGGGTTTTATTGAACTTTTTACATTAAAGAATGATGTTCATTCTATTATTGTTATGTGGTTATACTTTGGCTATTAATTATTGTGATTATGATGCTACTGGGAGATTTTATGCAGGAACAAATGAATGTCCACAAGCAAATGGTATTAGTTATGACTATCGTAAGATGACAATCACTAATGTTCCTTATGAAACTATCATTTTAGAGGATGTTGATTTAAATATTTTCTTTGGAACTAATGAGACTTTATTCACTCCTAAAAATGTAATTATTAAGAAATCAAAAACATTCTCAAATATGAAATATTCTTTTGTTAATGGGTTATCTACCATTACTTTAGATGGTGTTTTTGAACACAACACAATTAATAGTTATGATATTCAAGACATTACATTTCATATTCTTGATTTTAAAGCTACATTTGTCAATAATGGTGATTCTAAATATATCAAAGTAATTAAAAATAATCCAACAAGTCAGTTGAACACCATCACTTTCAATGGATTATTCAATGTTAATCCTATTACATTTACTGTTAATGCTTGCGACTATGTTATGACTGGTAATAATATTACAATAGAAGATCAAAGTGATGTTTATAAATTGGAATGTAATAATCAAATTAAATACTTCTATTGTGGAGGTGTATCTAATGTTGAACCACATTGTATTGATAATCAAGAAAAAATATTTATTGACATATCTATTAATGATGTCTTCACTCTCTATGGGTCATCTGTTCCAACAATTGTTTCTAATTCTAATGCATCTACAATCAAAATTAATTCTGCAAATGATAAGTCTGAAAATGTATTAATTTCTTTACAATCTCATAGTTATAATTTAAGAATTGTCAATAAGGAATCTATTGTTTATGCATCTAAAATAATTGAAGGAATTGTTCACTTTAGCCAAAATAATACTTGGAAAATAACTACAGACGCATTGATCGAATCAATTATTGTTGATGAAAAAGATCTTATTGTTGTTGGTATGAACGGAAAGAAGATTAATAATAACAATGGTGTCTATTCTGTTGGAGTAGATGGTCAATGTGAAACTGCAAAAATAGGTAAAGAGTTTAAATGTATTTCAGACGAAAGTTTATCAGATAATTCTTCTGAACATGATGATAGTGAAAATAGTTTGTCAAGTGATTCTTCTTCTATTTCTGAGTCTTCTGAAACTAGTTCAAGCCATGGAAGTACTGAAACTTCATCAGAAACTAGTGAAACTCAGAATAGTGAATCAAATTCAATGACTAACGATTCAGATGATAGTAATAATAATGCTGATAATGATAATGGATTAAGTGGTGGTGCAATATTTGCCATTGTTTTGGGTTTATTGATTGTTTTGATTATCATCATTATTGTCATTGCTGTTCTTGTTTATTTCTTTGTATTTAAACCAAAGAAACAATCTACATATACTGGAATTTAATCAAATTCTTTTTAACATGGTTTATATTTTATTTCTTATGTAAATAAGTGTAAGAATTATCTTTATTAATAACTGAATTTAAAATGATAAATAAAAAAGCAATAAACTCAATATATGACTCAACTTTCATTTAATAATTTAAAAATGAACAGAAATGGATCAATACTGTTTGACGTTTTTTAATAGTATTTGTCCATTCAATACTCGTATTTGTTAATCACTTTTATTCAAACACTTTAGAACGTTGGTTGTTGATGTTAATTCTTTTGAATGTTGAATAATCATAAGCACACAAAACACCAAGTTTTCATTCAAAAAATCACATGTTATTTTTTCTTATGAACAATATAACGTGTTGTAAATACATTGGTAATTGTAAACTTAATCAAAATATGTTATTTTTAATTCATCTCAACCTTAATAAATATACATAATGATATGAAATTAATAAATGTTTCTTATCGAGTTGGTTTTTATTGAAATAATTTTTCTGTTAAACGAATTGAACTTTTTGATAGTGGCATTATTTTATATTCTCCTACTTACAACAAATGAATTTCTATTTTCTATATGCGAGTTAATGATGGAGGTATAGTTAAATTGAATAAGTATGATGTATATAAAATGATTGAATGAGTAATGAATGAATGTAAATAATCTCAATAATATAAAATAAAGAATTGACATATAAAAACAAACAATTTGGAATTAATAAATAATTAGTTAATAATAAACTGATAGTACTGCAATTTTTATTAAACACATAATTATTAAATATTTTCATATTCTACTGAAACTACAATAGAATATAGATATTATAATGAAACACTATTATAAATAAACTCTTTAATTAAAAAAGCACGTTAAAATAATCAAATTGGCAATTTCTCAGTGATAATATCTTATTATGTATATTTTTTATTAATTAAGCTTCTTTAATTTTCATTTAAAAGGAATTTTTAATTGATTTTTTTATTTTTATTTTTTTTAGAATAATTTGAAATCCACAAATTAATAAAGAACAACACCACAAAGAAGAAGTGTGTAATAACAATGATGTTATATGAGAAAGTCACGAGTATTGTTTTTAATATATACAGGATGTGTGTTTTTGTTGAAGTAGAATTAGTATTTCATTTACATTCATCATATTTTTAATTTTAACATTTTTTTATTTCTTTTTTTAATTATTTAATTACTTTAATATCTTCTTCATTTACAAACTCATTTATTGAAAATGGTATTAGATTTATTTTATCATATGTTGTTTTATCTATTTTATTTATTCTATTTCTTATTTATTTGTATATATCTCTTGTAAATTCATAGATTTTATAAGAAATAACACACAAAGTCATAGAGTAAAACTATTCTTCAATTATTCAAATTGTTATCGAGTAATAATGTTATTATTGGTAAAAACAAATAACTTCTGTTGTAATTGTAATAGTAGTATTGTTATTAATCACATGAAACAAAGAATAATAAAAATTGTTTATTTTAATGGTATTACATAAAATTAGATGATGAAATGAATTAGAAAGTTATTTTTGTATAATATAGTAAATGATATTCATATTATGAAAGTGTTGAATAGTAATGGTTATTGAATTTAGATGAGATAAATAATAAAGTTATTGATATACTTTTCTCAAATTAAGTTATCATTGAAAATTATTTGGTAATGTGTAATACTCTTTTATAAATAAGTAAATAATTTAAATAAAGAAGATTAAGTGTATAGAAATATGAAATAAGACTAAATCAAAAGAGATAAATTATAAAAGAATAAATTAATAAAATGGATGATAGTTATGAAAACAAAAATTCATCACCAAATATATCAAAACAACGAATAACATGAAAGTTAATGAAGAAACTAACAATGTGGTTAAACAATTGACATCTCAAAACAATAAAACACAAATAAACAAATATTATTATTTAGAAGTGGTATTTCTTCTCTTTTATTTTACTCATTTATTGTTTTAAAATAATTTCAAATGATTAAATATATTTAAGTAATTAATAATTATTATTGATCATTTCTTTTTATAATTGTCATTCGTTTTGCATTGTATTTATCATTAAATATAGTTGATGTAATTTGGGTTTATGAATTAAATTATTGAAGAAGATAAATGAAATGTCATGAAATAAAGTAATTGTAAACAAATATTCATATCAATAAGTATGTGATTGTTTAATGAATAATTTCTCATTACTTTGTTTGTTATGTATTTATTTTTAATCAAAATTATATCATTAAATTTCTTTTTAATCTTTTCGTCTTTTCAGTACTTTTTATAGTCATTCTTCTGATATTCTTCAGTTTTTTCTTAACATTTATTTACACAAACACTTATAAAAACAAAGTTGTTCTAAATGATGTTATTGTTGGTGTGATATTAATTTATTTTAATGAGTTAAATTAATGAATGGAATTATTTCTATTTCAATACTAGATGAATGAAGATTAATTGTTGTTAATGAATAGCAATATGTAAAAGAAGAAATTTCAAGTAATTTAACTTCTATTAATATTGTATTTTCATATTTATATTTCATGACTTGGTATGTTTAAACATGTTGAATAATTAACATTATATTATGTATTTAAATATTATTCAATCATTAAATGTTTCAATTATACGATACAATCTTCTTGCATAATGAATAAAATGAAATGAATTAAAATGAAAGTGATTTATATTTCATTGAAACTATTCTAACTCCAAATTCTAAATTAATACAGTCATTAATGTCATTAAAATACATAAACATTATTTTATTCTATCATTATTTTTATTATTGACTCTTTGTTGTATTTTCTATATTCTTTTAATTTGAAATTCAATATTTGAATATTGTCTTTATATTCTTCTTTTCTTATCTTTTTTAATTGAAAAAAAGTCAAACCACAATGAGTGAGATATCATTTCTTGTTATATTAGTTTAGTTTATTGTAACTGTTATGAAATTCATTTATTTCTAATACAATTCATGTTGTTATATTCATTATCATTGAGTAATACTCATAATTCTTATAAAGAAACAAAATACAATAGAACAAATTAGAGTATTCATGAGAATAATAATTAGAGAAAGAAGTATTGATAGAGAAATGAATAAT